ATATATATATATATATATATATATATATATATATATATATATATATATATATATCAGCATATATATATTACAAATTCAGATTTCTTTTTGCTGACAAAGAAATCTGAATTTGTAATGTATCGCAGTAGCGACTTGACAGCATATATATATATTATATATATGACAGCATATATATGTATATGTATATGTATATGTATATGTATATGTATATGTATATATATATATATATAAACATCAGCATTTTCCCTCATAATGCCACCTTATTTGGGTGTCTTTGCTATTGTTCCAGCACTCTTATATCAATTTGCATTGTGTAAATCATCACAATGCCTAGAAAACAATCCTCTTTAACGCTTTCAAAATTTGGGAAGCTTGAAGATACAGAAAACAGAAAGAGGGAGTAGGATTTGTTTGTTCGTCCTTTTTCAGCTTCTTCCTTAACTATGCCGCCATACTTGTGGCTATATTAACTAAAATATACATGCTATTATTTCTGAGAATTCTCACAATGCTATAACAGAAGTATGAGCATCACTGAAAGAGGGACAATGATGCTGCTTTATTACCAAGAGAAAATATTCAAAGACATCAAGACTCAACTTCTTTACTATAATTTTGTTTTAAGTACCTGCGAGGCTATGTGGAATGGCACCCAAGAGACGAGTGTCGTGTGGAGCTCCTGGCATCTCTGCTGATGAATGCATGGCGAAAGGATGCTGCTATGAACATTACCAGTATGCCAAAACAGTCCCCTGGTGTTTCCAGCCATATGAAAAACAAGGAAATTATTCTCTCTGAAGAACAAAATTGAAAGAAATGTGGTTTGTTTGAAGATGCTTCCAAAGTGAAGGGCAATAGACATAACATTCGTATGGGGATTTGCTCATATTCTTTGTATTATTGTAGTAAATGTTTAGTATTGAATATTTTGAGGGTATTCTGCTTTACTTCTCACTTTTGCAGAAGGAAGAATTATAGCATCATTACTAAAATTATCGAAGAATAAATCAACAGCAAATTCATATTTTTGCACAATTCCTGAATTATAAATAATATTCAATTCACTAAACGTAATAATCTTTCTCTGGACTAAACATTCAAAATAAATAATCTGAAAGTACATTAAGGTTTGTACTCAGTGCACAGATTTAAAGGCATTCGTTCAGATAGAGTCTTACCCCTTCTTGGATAGATAGCTGTAAAGGCATGTACACAAATATATCCTTGGATATCTTAACTATATAGGTGGTCCAAAATAGGGGAACTAGATTTTTAAATAAGAACAGAGCAAACACAACCATGCTTACTCCATTTGAACACCTTTCCAATCCTAGGTGAAATTAAAGCAGAGGCCCCCAAACTTTTGGGCACCAGGGACCGGTTCCATGGAGAGAGGTTTCTCCGTGGACAGGAGGGGGTGTGGTTTCATGTACTGCCTGAATCCCGTGGATGGAGCTTTGCTTGTCTGCCCCGCCTGGTTTCTGGCATGCCACGGACTGGTACCGGTCCACGGAGCGGGGGTTGGGGACCCCTGCTTTAAAGCAATAAAGGTATCCCTCATTTAGCTTCATACAGTGACTGTTTGCAGTTATGACAGTGATAAAAAAGTAACTTTGTGACCAATCCTCACACTTATGATACTTCCAAATTTCTAAAGCAAAAGAAAGCGGAATTAAGATCATAAGCACAGTCATGTTTTCACTTAACAACCATTTTGTTTAACAACTGAGTTGCTGGTCCCAATTATGGTCACTAAATGAGGACTACCTGAAATTAGCTTGAATTCTAAGTATTGTAAAGGTCACCCACTTCAGAATGCTTTGCTTTTAAAATTAGCAAAACTGGTTTTCTTCCAGATTAGTATAAACATAAAAGCAAGTCTTCTTGGGAACTTCATACCATTTTTTTCAGTTATCCAGACTTAAAGAAACTGGACTTTTCCCATGGCTTTTGTTGCTTTTATTTAATTGAATTTTAATTGGTTCTGACATTGGGATTAGTGTTTAAGGGTATATATTTTCCCTCTTTCCTCTTAGATTTAAATTAACTTTCGAAGAAATGTTTCCTATATTCTGTGAGTGCATTTGAGAAGGAAAATGCATTTTGATTAAATGCAAAATGGGGTGTTACTCAATCTACATACCTACCTGAGACGTTAGTTTCCATATTGCTAAGAATGGGGGGGGGGGAGTTTGTACTAGCCAGCAGAAAGTACCAGAAAGAACAGAGTCGAGTGAGGGAGCAAAAGCCTTTTTTAGTAAATTTGTGTTGGTATGAAGCAGAGGGGGTTTTTTTTTTTTTAAAAAAGGCATGGTTTCTTAGTTTGCTAAAATTTGTTTCATCTGAAACTGTTCAATATTTGACAGTTGGCTAGTGGCCTAACTTGGGCTTTATAAACACCTGACTGACATTTATTATTTTTCCCTTGCAAATATCCGGATACCTCCACCACACATCTAATAAAAATCTAAATAACATTTTCTAATTACTTAAGGTGGAGCTTAACAGGTAATTTGTTATCTGAATGAAGTACACAAACATTGTGATATAAAAGAAGCTCCATTTATGCCACATAATACTCTCTTTGATCCAAATCTCTACTTTCCAAGAGTTGTGTGCTATGAAGAATCAGAAAAGGGTCTGGTTATGTCTAGCTATTTTAATTCTAGGTTGCAGCGTACTGCTCGAAGGAGTAGCAGCTCCACGTAAGTACTTTACTTTAAACTAGCATTTTGTTGCAATGTTTAAGTACATGGAAGACACTAAATATGATATTTAACTCACCTAATATTTGGACAGTTTTATCTCATTACAGATATGTTTAATCTTCTAGATAATCTTATTTCTGCTATTGCTAAGCTTTACTGGTTTGACAGCCATTCGTCAGTTAGGCAGGAGTCCCTGACCCCTGGGCAGCGGACCATTGCCACTCCGTGGTCTGTTGGGAACCAGGCTGAGCAAGAGGCAGGCGAGTGTGTGAAGCTTCATTGGTGCAGGCAGAGGAGCTAGGTTGCCCGTGTGAAACCATCCCCTCCCCTCCTCCCGCCGCCTCTGCTGCTGCTGGTCTGTGAAGCCAGAAAGGTTGGGGACCGCTGAATTAAGGATTAAACTATGCACGCATGCTTTACAGTATAACATTTTAAAAATAGTACTCGAACATTCTTTTTGCGATACACATGATGCTGGCTTCCATGGTGATAGCTAAAAAAAAATCATTTGGCATACATTGGTAACATGGGATAACCATGAGTTTTGTCTTTTGACAGCAAAATGCCGATGTGACGTTGATCCTCACAAACGATCCAACTGTGGACCTCCCGGGATCACTCCCCAGGAATGCGAAAATAAAGGATGTTGCTTCAATTCAACAGTGCCAGGAGTCCCTTGGTGCTTTAAACCAACAAAATGTAATTGATCTATGTGATACTAAATCAGACTTTTCCAACTCTTAAATGATATCCAAATTGGTGGAATAGATAAGAACTTTGAAACAGCTATCTTGCTGGGGGTAGCAGTGAGACAATATCACAGATACACACGATGCTGGCTTCCATGGTGATAGCTAAAAAAATGATTTGCCATACATGGTAACATGGAATAACCATGAGTTTTGTCTTTTGACAGCAAAATGCCGGTGTGATGTTGATCCCCACAAACGATCCAACTGTGGACCTCCCGGGATCACTCCCCAGGAATGCGAAAATAAAGGATGTTGCTTCAATTCAACAGTGCCAGGAGTCCCTTGGTGCTTTAAACCAACAAAATGTAATTGATCTATGTGATACTAAATCAGACTTTTCCAGCTCTTAAATGATATCCAAATTGGTGGAATAGATAAGAACTTTGAAACAGCTATCTTGCTGGCGGTAGCAGTGAGACAATATCACAGATACAAATGATGCTGGCTTCCATGGTGATAGGTAAAAAAAAATCACTTGCCATACAGGGTAACATGGGATAACCATGAGTTTTGTCTTTTGACAGCAAAATGCCGATGTAACGTTGATCCCCGCAAACGATGCAACTGTGGACCTCCCGGGATCACTCCCCAGGAATGCGAAAATAAAGGATGTTGCTTCAATTCAACAGTGCCAGGAGTCCCTTGGTGCTTTAAACCAACCCCCCCAAAATGTAATTGATCTATGTGATACTAAATCAGACTTTTCCAGCTCTTAAATGATATCCAAATTGGTGGAATAGATAAGAACTTTGAAACAGCTATCTTGCTGGCAGTAGGAGTGAGACCATATCACAGGTTCTTTATTTTTTTAATTGTACATTAGAGTGACCCAGACTCAAGAGAAACAGAGAAGTACTGGACCCTGGAGAGATGGTTTCTTTATATCTTCTTCTAAGAGTTGGAGAGATGTTTCATTTTATCAAAACAAACATAGAAGGTTTTTCTCATTGTGGCCCAAACCCCCAAATTTATGTTTTATATATAGAAAGATATTATCTAAAAGAATATATAGCTTCAATGATAGAGGCAAGCTTGAAAGTTAGTTGAAGAGTACTGAAACATTATCCAAATTATGCAGTGTATGTAAATCCATTTTCCAAACTACTCCTAGTTGACAGTTTGTCAATTATTGAGGTCATAAATAGAGGTAGTTGAAGTTCAGAAAAATAAATAGATCTAAAGATGATCTAGATAAAGTATCTAAGCAAATTTGTGGTAATTAAAGATGCTGCCTGCATGAGCAAAAATTCTAAGCAAAAAATTGGTCTGTGTAGTACTTCTGATTCAACTCCAGGAGTTTCAGTGGAAGACTGCAAATGTAACACCTGTTTGTATCTCTTTAATGTAGCCACATCTTTTCTGGGATCGTACAGCTGTGGCTGCCACTTATCTCCTTTAAAGAGTTACAGACAGGTGTTACATTCCCACACCTTCATTTTCAAAGCTCTCCTTTGGAACAAATCTCAACCACTGTACAGGACAATCAGATTTAGTTAAAATTGAATTGTCACAATCAGGGTCCATCAAGAGAACCCTTAAAAGCTATCCGTTAGGTTTTGAGTTCTACTGAAACATGCACACCTGATTTTACCTTTTGAAAGAGAAATGAGGCAGGAGATCTGTGAGCTTAATTTATATTATTCATTAGGCCATGGGCAGTTTTAATTCTTAAATATGAGTCAACATCTTAAAAGTATTGTAATGCATTTTGAACTATAGGCATTCTTTATTATGTCAGGCCATTGTAATTTTGATGACAATTTTAATTATAATTACACGCTGCTTACTAAATTTTGTCTGAAAATAGTATGTGTTCTTACCCTATTATTTCATGTACATGGTTAGGGGTTGAAGTCTGCTAAATAAATAATTCTCTTGGCTGNCTTTCTTAATGGGGATCAACGTCACATCGGCATTTTGCTGTTAAAAGACAAAACTCATGGTTATCCCATGTTACCAATATATGGCAAATGATTTTTTTTTAGCTATTACCATGGAAGCCAGCATCATGTGTATCTGTGATATTGTCTCACTGCTACCGCCAGCAAGATAGCTGTTTCAAAGTTCTTATCTGTTCCACCAATTGGGATATCATTTAAGAGCTGGAAAAGTCTGATTTAGTATCACATAAATCAATTACATTTTGGAGGGGTTGGTTTAAAGCACCAAGGGACTCCTGGCACTGTTGAACTGAAGCAACATCCTTTATTTTCGCATTCCTGGGGAGTGATCCCGGGAGGTCCACAGTTGGATCGTTTGTGGGGATCAACATCACATCGGCATTTTGCTGTCAAAAGACAAAACTCATGGTTATCCCATGTTACCAATGTATGGCAAATGATTTTTTTTAGCTATCACCATGGAAGCCAGCATCATGTGTATTGCAAAAAGATGCAAGTACAAAAAGTTGGGGTTCAGAACCTCCCATTGCAGTACACCTTGCATCACAATTTGCCCTAGACACACATGCCACTCATATGTAATGGGCTGCAGCATTCAGAAGACCAAAAGCATAATCAAAGTTAGGGGTCTCATTGATATTTACCACTATGATCCTTAGCCCAGGAGATCTGTGAGCTTAATTTATATTATTCATTAGGCCATGGGCAGTTTTAATTCTTAAATATGAGTCAGCATCTTAAAAGTATTGTAATGCATTTTGAACTATAGGCATTCTTTATTATGTCAGGCCATTGTAATTTTGATGACAATTTTAATTATAACTACACGCTGCTTACTAAATTTTGTCTGAAAATAGTATGTGTTCTTACCCTATTATTTCATGTACATAGTTAGAGGTTGAAGTCTGCTAAATAAATAATTCTCTTGGCTGCTACTAATTTCTGGATAAGAGGTATTCTTTTGGAATATTGCTTAGAAGTAACACAACTATATGATAAAGACTTTTTGGGGAAATAACAGAACCCAAACTGCTTTTGACAATCATTACAACCCAAGCCCAGTTAGATGAGTTATTATTCAGAGGTTCCTTAAGGTGAGACATTTAAATACTTCAATATAGTTCTGAAATGATTTCCTAAACAACACAGCATAGTGTGCAACACATGTTATGAAGAATATAGGGTTTTGTTTTGCATTTCTCAGTGATTTGATACATATTTTATTAAACTTATTACTTCTAACTGCTACAATATTTTTAATTCTTGTTCCTCCTGCTCAGATGAGTTGAGAATTATTGTAACGGAACATAATAAAATATAAGTTTAATAGTGCTCCCTTTAGCGGATGTTGAATGCATCAGATTCCAGATATTTCTCTGAAATAATGGATAGTCCATTGTATCTGAATAGTCTAGATAAGGTAGTCATATTTGCATATATTTTGTTACATTTTTATGCAATTTCTGTCATTCTATGTCATTTTAATTATGACTTCATTATGCAAATAATACACATTGACACAAAAATATAATTTTCATCATTTGCAAAATGATTCTATTCAGTGCTTTTTTTGTTAAAAAAAAAAAAAAAAAAAAAAAAAAGGTGCCGGAACTCATGCATATCATACAACCCGCCTTGCCTACCCTACAAGGGTCCATCCAAAAAAGGCGCTGGAACTCCGTTCTGGGTGTTTTATAACAAAAAAAAAGCCCTGATTCTATTCCACAAACGTAAATTTTGTATTCTTTCAGATTTAATGGACATTCAGAACTAATAATGACTTCTTCTGAATGGTACATTAAATTGAGATTTTAAATCAGTCTCCGCTACAGTCAGAGAAAGCCACGGGAAATACATGCACTTATCTGTCTATGTAAAACACAGCACCTCCTGATGGCTTCACCCAACAATACATCACCCAATTGTTGTTACCAAGATAGACAGCATGTACAGCTATAGTATCTAAAATCTACTATAAATAGTGTATTCAGAACCAAATTACAGCTAGCCCTGACCCACTAATCCTGAGTTAATTTATTTTCCAAACAGATAAAAAGGTGTGTCCTACAGATGTGAAACTCCGGAAGAACTGTGGCTATCCAGGAATCCCGGCTGATAAATGTGCAAAAAGAAAGTGCTGTTTTGACAGCAAACCACCTGGTGTCCCATGGTGCTTTTTTCATATCATTGTGGAAGAAGGTAAGGAACAAGTATCAGTTTTGATGAATGTAACAACCTTTTATAGGAGATACATGCTAAGATACTTTCTGGCATATAATACAGTATAGATTTCCATTGTGAGTAGAACTCCTCATTTAACTGCATTTGCTTACAGTACCTTAGAATTAAAATGATGTATGCACATTTAATTTTTACATCAGTGTTTCCCCGTTTCTTAGTTTATAATCTGCTAGCAGGAATTTTTTTGGGGGGGGTGTTTTGTCTTACCTTCGGGGAAGGGGAAATTATTATTATTATTTATTATTTTTATACTACCTTACAGTAAGTCTGTTTTAGGGCTTAGGCTACAGTTTGGGTAGAGATTCCCATCTCAAAATGACAGGACACAATATCACCAATTTCAATAATTATAGCCTGGGAATTGCACATCAAAAAATAACAAAACAAAAACAGGGTCTGCATGGGTTTCCCAGGCACTTTGTCTTCTCAAAACCCAGGTTTCAGATTATTCTAGAAGTAAAAAAAAACAGAGAGAGAAAACATTTTGTTTAATTTTCATTTTATTCAGAAACTGCTATAAACTCTGCAATCTATAAGCCATTTTCTTAAAACATAGACCAGGGGTCTCCAAACTTGACAACTTCAAGATTTGTGGACTTCAACTCCCAGAATTCCTCAGCCAGCTGGTTGGGGAATTCTAGGAATTGAAGTCCACAAAACTTAAAAGTTGCCAAGTTTGGAGACCCCTGACATAGAGCACTGGTTGCTTTTATCAGACAGCAATGGTTATGATTCTTTTTTTTTCAAATTTAAATTTTTTTATTATTTTTATCATAAAAAAAAAACACATCACAAATACATCACAATACAAAAACCCTCACGCCCCACACCCCACACCCCACACCCCGGACTTCCCAAACCTTATCCCAGGATACTATTCAACTAAAAGTAAACTACTAATAATATCCCTAACTCCACAAAATAATATTCTACATAAGTAGGTGAAATATGTAAAAAAAAGAAACAAATTATCTAAAAGCCTAGATTATATTCCACCATTCTATGCTTATTTTGAATATAAACAATCCATCTTCTCCATATTNCACAGCATAGTGTGCAACACACGTTATGAAGAATATAGGGTTTTGTTTTGCATTTCTCAGTGATTTGATACATATTTTATTAAACTTATTACTTCTAACTGCTACAGTATTTTTAGTTCTTATTCCTCCTGCTCAGATGAGTTGAGAATTATTGTAACGGAACATAATAAAATATAAGTTTAATAGTGCTCCCTTTAGCGGATTTTGAATGCAGCAGATTCCAGATATTTCTCTGAAATAATGGATAGTCCATTGTATCTGAATAGTCTAGATAAGGTAGTCATATTTGCATATATTTTGTTACATTTTTATGCAATTTCTGTCATTCTATGTCATTTTAATTATGACTTCATTATGCAAATAATACACATTGACAGAAAAATATAATTTTCATCATTTGCAAAATTATTCTATTACACAAATGTAAATTATGTATTCTTTCAGATTTAATGGAGATTCAGAACTAATAATGACTTCTTCTGAATGGTACATTAAACTGAGATTTTAAATCAGTCTCCGTTACAGTCAGAGAAAGCCACGGGAAATGCATGCATGGAATCTGAATTTTAATAAAATGGAGGTCAGCACTTATCTGTCTATGTAAAACACAGCACCTCCTGATGGCTTCACCCAACAATACATCACCCAATTGTTGTTACCAAGATAGCCAGCATGTACAGCTATAGTATCCAGAATCTACTATAAATAGTGTATTCAGAACCAAATTACAGCTAGCCCTGACCCACTAATCCTGAGTTAATTTATTTTCCAAACAGATAGAAAGGTGTGTCCTACAGATGTGAAACTCCGGAAGAACTGTGGCTATCCAGGAATCCCGGCTGATAAATGTGCAAAGAGAAAGTGCTGTTTTGACAGCAAACCACCTGGTGTCCCATGGTGCTTTTTTAATATCATTGTGGAAGAAGGTAAGGAACAAGTATCAGTTTTGATGAATGCAACAACCTTTTATAGGAGACACATGCTAAGATACTTTCTGGCATATAGTACAGTATAGATTTCCATTGTGAGTAGAACTCCTCATTTAACTGCATTTGCTTACAGTACCTTAGAATTAAAATGATGTATGCACATTTAATTTTTACATCAGTGTTTTCCCCTGTTTCTTAGTTTATAATCTGCTAGCAGGAATTTTTTTGGGGGGTGTTTTGTCTTACCTTTGGGGAAGTGGAAATTATTATTATTATTTATTATTTTTATACTACCTTAAGTCTGTTTTAGGGCTTAGGCTACAGTTTGGGTAGAGATTCCCATCTCAAAATGACAGGACACAATGTCACCAATTTCAATAATTATAGCCTGGGAATTGCACATCAAAAATAACAAAACAAAAACAGGGTCTGCATGGGTTTCCCAGGCACTTTGTCTTCTCAAAACCCAGGTTTCAGATTATTCTAGAAGTAAAAAAAAAAAGAGAGAGAAAACATTTTGTTTAATTTTCATTTTATTCAGAAACTGCTATAAACTCTGCAATCTATAAGCCATTTTCTTAAAACATAGACCAGGGGTCTCCAAACTTGACAACTTCAAGATTTGTGGACTTCAACTCCCAGAATTCCTCAGCCAGCTGGTTGGGGAATTCTAGGAATTGAAGTCCACAAAACTTAAAAGTTGCCAAGTTTGGAGACCCCTGACATAGAGCACTGGTTGCTTTCATCAGAAAGCAATGGTTATGATTCTGAATGCAGCTAGATTCACTTAAGACCCTCCGTTTTATATCTATATTTTGAGAACAGCTCCAGCATTGCAGGCAGTGATGTATGTCTTACTAAGGTGGAATGAGAGGTGAGATTGAAGGGAGAAACCGATACTGGGCTAAGGATCATAGTGGTAAATATCAATGAGACCACTAACTTTAATTATGCTTTTGGTCTTCTGAATGCTGCAGCCCATTACAGATGAGTGGCATGTGTGTCTAGGGCAAATTGTGATGCAAGGTGTACTGCAATGGGAAGTTCTGAACCCCAACAATTGAGCCCAACATTTCCATTGCTAACCAAGGCAGTTGTTAAGTGGATTTGCCCCATATTATGACCTTGTTGCCATTGTTATTAAGTGAATCATGTGATCCTTAAGTGAATGTGGCTTCCTTCATTGACTTTGCTTGTTGGAAGCAAATAGTGAACACATGACCCCGGGACAGTGCAATTGTCTCGGGGTCATGTGATCACCATGTGCTAAATATATGCGATAACCATGTGCTAAGTACATGCCAATTGCTAAGTGCCCAAACTTTGATCACGTGACTGTGAGGACGCTGCAATGGTTGCCAGTGTGAAAACCAATCATAAGTCACTTTTTCCAGTGCTGTTGTAACTTCAAAGAGTCACTAAACAAATGGCTGTAGGTTGAGGACTAGCTGCAAATCATGGACTTTGTGTTATGATGTCAGGATTCATATTTGACTTTTGAACATATACACACGACTTCCCGTGTAAGTGCCTGACACAACACTGGAAAACACTGAGTAATGTAAAGCCAATTGGAAGGGACCCTCGTTCAGTTGTTGTGATGTGAACAGATTTGATATAAGCCAATTCTGAATGTTGCAGACAAAAGAGGCTCTAACTTACTGGGGCTGAAACCAGCACCAGAGTAAGAAGGAAATTAGTGTGATAAATATTTCAGAGACAAAAACTTGCAGTTATGGTTCTAGTAGAATATGTGTTGTTACTTTTTGGGGGGTTGATAGAAATAGAAATAAGAGAGAAAAGCTGAAAAAAGCTTGACTTTTTTTCCCCTTTTCTTCCTTTTCAGAGTGTTAAAATGATGCTTCAGGAAGGAGCTTTCACAAAGAGCGTGCTTTCAACAGAACTATTCAAGCACAATGTTATCCCATGTGCTGTAGTAATTTTGGTTTCTGTGATACATTATTGCATCTTAATAGTAGACACTTAATTACAGATGTTGTCACTTCTTTACATCTGCTAAAGGCAATCATGATGATAAGAAAGCAATATTTTTATGTTTATGAATGCATTATAAATTTGCCTCTTGTGTTGATATCCAGGTAGTAGCCTATATACGTGAGACATTAACTTTTTGTAACTGAAAATTTCATTTTTGACGGGCTTCTGTGATTAGAAATATACCACTTAAATAATATGCTATTAAATCATGCAAAACAAATTGAACATAAATGTTTGTGCTAATAGATCATCTAGTACGCTTTATGAAGTTTACTATAAATCCTTGTCAGTGATAAAAAGCTTCTGACATCTTAAATAACAGCAGAGAATGAATGAATGAATGAATGAATGAATGAATTTCAGAACTCTCTCTGCTTTGGGGCAGCAGTTTCACCCAATTTGGAAATCAAGAGGCAAGGAAGAAGTTTCTCCTGTTCTTCTTCAATTACCCAACCTGCAACGTGTTCCCCACCTACCAAGTTCCTCTCTTTCTCAGTGTTAGTTACCATCTGCAGAAGACCTATTGTGCAGCCGTGTGAGCAGCGTGGGTTTGTGAGAATACTGAAAGTAGAAATGGTAAAGAAGTGATCTGAATATATGTATCGACCACGCACTGAGTAGCAGGCCCATACTTATATACAGACAACCATCCAACCTCAAGCAGTTTCTCACAAGCAACAAAAAAGAACACGACCATGTTGCCAAGATGAAAATCAGATTCTGCAACACAGCCTTTGTCCCCAAATCTACACTACAACAGCACTATCACAAGCCCCAATAATATATATTCAAGATTACAAGTACCGTTACAAGCTTTTCCTTCAATGGGATCTCTGTCATCAGCTGCCAGCAGGGCCATTCTGTATTCTACATAGAACAAATGGGGAACATTTGCACAGAAAAATTAATGAACACAAGGACTCAAACATACAAAAATAATATCAGAGCCTTCTAATCTCCCAGATATTCTATAGCAAACCTCCAAGTTACTGCTTGAGAAAACAGGGCTTTAAGCACAGAGTGAAAAATTGTTGAACTCATATACATCAAAAGAGTTCACACAATCTGAACTCCCAACATGATTTTTTTAACATGCTACAAATGTTAATTGATGTGTGCTTGCAATCTGTCTCACATGTAAACAACATTTACACAACCAACTTATCTACTCCTCTCTTCCCCTCCATCCCACACAGTTTAAATCCTACATCAGTCCAGCCACTCTATGAAGTAGCCTGCCACTAATAATAAACGTTTAATAAACGTTATTAGAAAAGGTACCACCAGGCTCCTGGGGTTTTTTCTTTGCCTGGAATCTTTGGTCTGTGAATATTCTTTCCAAAGAATCAAATTCTCAAGCTAATTCCTCCAGCACTGAGAGTCCAGATATGCTCTACCTCAACTTTTTTTCCACCTCCTACCAGGGAGGGAGGGTAGGTTGGGGGGACTGTATAATGCTCTTGCAATAGGACTGAATGGTGGAAAACTCGATCTCTCTTCAGACGCTACAGTTTAAAAGATAAAGGATTGATTTTGCTCTCATGAGAATGGTCCCAAAAAAACCAAAACCCCAGCCCTTCAATTTCAACTCTTAGAGGGTCATATAAAAGGAAGAAACCTGGTAGAAAGCCAGATATGATCTCCAAAAGTGAGTTGGGTGGCCTGTCTGATGAAGGAGGACAGCAGAATGGTGAGAGGAGGCTTTGCCTTTGGCTGGCTAAATAATGAGCTTCCTGGATCTCTTAGAGGAGTCTGCAATCAAATCACAGTAAGATCCTCTTGCAAAAGGAAGTTCTGCTGAAAGAATAGAAAATGGAAATAAAAGCAACACTCAAAATGTTCACCCTGTTACTTGACGCAGCATACAATTTAATGGTGTTTACCAATTATTAATCTTTTCTTTATAGCCTTCTGGATACAAAATCATCAGATTTGATTAAATATTTACTGACTTATACTTATATTTACTTATTGTAAATATTAGTTTTGTAAATGAAATTTTTAGAATATATATGATTGTGGAAAATAATTACCACAAGAAGAATTTGAAAGGTGAAGTGGTGCTAGACACATCCAGAGCTACGGAAAGCCAATGGATGAATGATAAAATGGCAATTTATGTAACATGTTATGAACATTTTACAGTAATGTAAGAATGAAGTACAGAATTTCTAGAAACCTGCCTCTTGCTGTCCAAGAGAGCATTGTTTTAAAAGATGAGATGAATAAAGACCTCATTATAAAGCTTTCAAGTCCTTCTCAGGAAGCACTCAAAATATTTGTCAGGTGAACTAGAACAAGCAAAGCTAATATGAGAGAACAATGCAAACATATTTCTTCAGCTGGTTCTTCCTCACCTGAGGAACCTTCAAGTGAAGAGCAGTTTTCAGGCATTGTTCCTCATGGCTCAAAAATGGAGGAACAGAATAAGGGGAACAATGGGTTCTTGTAACCACAAACGTATTGGATAATTATCTAAGATGTTAAACAAGGTGTAAGAAATGTTGCTGGAATAATCTATTACATATGGTTGTTGTTCTGTTCGCGAGTCAAAGGCATTTAGACAAAGTGAGTAACACAAAAGCAAGTCTTCTTTATTGCAAGTCAGCAACAGAACAGAACAGTAACAAAATGGCACAGAGGCCTTTTATAGTCTCCTTGCAAGGACAGCGTCAACCAATCAATGCAAGGCTGGTTTCGCGCCTTGCGCATGCGCGCAAGGCTGGCGACAGCCTGTCTGGTCCCGGGCAACCATGTGGTCTGCCCGGGTGTTCTGTCCCCCGTCCGACCCACACCCCCCAACCAGGCAGCCGAGGCCTGAAAAACTGCTCGGCACAAAGGCAAATGAATTCCTTGGCAGCAACTGCGTAGCTGCCTGCCAAGCCTTTACTGATAAGACACAGCAAACAAAGATAATTCCACAATGACTTGCCAGAGAGCGTGCGACCGAATATCCATCAAAAATT